AAGATGCTCTTTGACTGGTTTTGCAGACGAGTCGACTCTTAGGCGATGCTCAGCCAGTCCCCTGGGAACACCTGGCATGTCAGCGGGCTTCCATGCAAAAATGTCCCAGTTCTCACGGAGGAACTGGATGAGCGCTTCTTCCTATTTTGGGTCGAGTGTTGTGGAGATGCGGGTCGGAGCTGCATCGGGGTCGGTCGGGTGAATGTGAACAGGCTTCGTCTCACCGGACGACTGGAATGCAGACTCTGTGGCGGGTTTCTTTGATCGCAGCAAGTCACTCGGATCTGCGTTTTGCTTGTATTCCTCGAACTCGACCGCTGTCACCTGGGAATCGGCAATCTTTGAGCCCTTCTGAAAGCACTCTTCTGCCTTTTTCCGATCACCGGTGACAGTGATCACTCCTTTGGGGCCGGGCATCTTCAATTTGAGGTACACGTAACATGGTCGAGCCATGAACCGTGCGTAAGCTCGTCTCCCCAAAATGGCATGATATGCACTCTGAAAATCCACGACCTCAAACGTCAACTTTTCTTTGCGAAAATGTTTCGAATCACCAAACACCACGTCCAAAGCTATTTGGCCGAGTGACTCGGCTTTCTTCCCTGGTATAACTCCATGAAAGCTCATGTTACTAGTGCTCAGTCGGGACATCGGAATGCCCATTCCTTTCAGTGTGTCTGCATACAACAAATTCAGCCCGCTTCCACCGTCCATCAGCACTTTTGTCAGTCGAGTGCCTTCAACAACTGGATCGACCACCAAAGCTTACCTCCCAGGGGTGGCAATATGAGTCGGGTGATCAGATTGGTCGAATGTGATGGGTATTTGAGACCATTTCAGATAATTTGCTTTTGCTGGGGCAACCATGTTCACCTCTCGGTTAATGACTTTCAGTCGACTCCTGCTTTCCACATCTGCAAAGATCATCAGAGTGGAGTTGATATGCGGATATCCTTCCTCACTGTCCTCCTTGTCTTCAGCCTTGTCCGACTCCTTCTCCTTGTCCTTAGACTATTTTCCCTGAAACTGCTGGATCAGGAGTCGACATTGGCGAGTGGTGTGCTTCGGGTAGATGATATTCCCCTCTTCGTCTTTCTTCGTGTGGATGTGACATGGCATATCCATTACTCGTTCCCTTCTTTATCCTTTACCTTCTTGGGGTTCCAGGATCCTTTTGGTTTCCCCTTAAACTTTCCCTGAGTCACGGCCAGAGCCTCTCCTGGAGCTGCCGGTTCAGCCTTCCGCTTCTGTTTCCGACTGGTGTTTCCTTTTTCCGACTGACTCGGCTTGTGCTTGCCGCTTCGGAGTCGGTCTTCTTCTTCGCCGTTGGCGTACTTGGTAGCAATCTCCATCATCCGACTCAAGGTCATGTCACCGGTTCGACCAAACTTCAAACTCAGTTCTCTATTCTTGACGCCATCTTTGAAGGCGCAGACTGCCTGATGATCAGACACATTCTCCACAGTGTGGTGCAAAGTGATCCATCTCTGAATATACTCTCTGAGAGTCTCATTGGTCTTCTGCACGCAGACTTGTAACTCTGTCAGTCCAGCTGGTCGCTTGCAAGTTCCTTCAAACGTTCTGATGAACACTCGGGACAAATCTTCCCAAGTGTAAATGCTGCTAGGCGGTAATTGAGTTAACCATGCCCTGGCAGAACCTTCCAGCATGAGGGGTAAATGCTTCATGGCCACCTCGTCGTTCCCACCACCAATCTGAACTGCCACTCGGTAGTCCTCAAGCCAAGTTTCAGGCTTAGACTCACCAGTGAACTTGCTGACTCCTGTTGCCAACCTGAAATTGGGAGGGATAACTGCGGCTCTGATAGCTCTGCTGAAACATTCAGGACCAGAAACATGCACTCGACTGCTTGTGGGTGCATCTCTGTCGAGTCCGTCTCGATGGGCTCTGTTCCGGTCAACCAAACCTTGCACGATAATGGATCGCGCGTCGAAGCCTGGTTCTCTGGGGTCGACTGGAACCCTTCGCCCTGTACTGTACTGACGCCTGTCATCTTGCTGCCGAGGAGCGTAAGACCCACCCCTCGGAGGGGAATTGAGCACTCGACGCCTATCATCTCGGTCGAGTCGGTCGCCATATTGATCTCGCCGATTCTCGCGCCCTTCACGCCGCGGAGGCGATCTGGGGCTGTGAGCCGACTGAACCGTATTCGCAGTGACGGATCGACTGTGAATTCTGTTGCGCGACTGAGACACGGCTGAATTCTGATCTCCTGCTGCCCGGAGCAGATCCCTGATCTGCAGCAAACTTCTGCCAGCTTCCGACTGCGAAGGCTGGATGGACTCTGCTATACGGGTCGCAGCTGCTAAATTCTGGATTGGGGTTCGATATACCTGAGTCGGCGGGAAGAGTTGACGTCGACTGGTGTCGGGAACTCGTTGCCGCGCGCGCTCGTCGAGTGCTCGCTGAAGATTCTCCAGTCGAGTGCGTTCGGCCAAATTGGCCAGACGCGCCTCCTCCAAGGCACGAGCCTCGGGGGTTTCTCCTGCGATGGGAGTACGCAGAGCATCCACGTTCCTGCGGCGAAGTTCCTCTCTTTGCAGAGAGTCGAGTGGCTCGGGCTGGTACTCTTCGTGGCCTCGTGCGGGGTCGCCTCCGTCACCTGCTCCACCATCACGGGCGAAGCCAGGGGGACTGCGGGGTCCGTCGACCATCAAGATTTCCGCCGTTGGATCACTGCTACCGCACTCGGTTGCAGTCTCTACGAAGCCAGTCGACAGATCGAACAAGCCGTAGAGAGATTCGTCGGGCTCAATTGCCGCAACTTGGGTGGTGGCCGATTGGCGAGCCACCGCGTGCCTCACCCACCGCTGAAGCCTCGACCGGCCCGAGCGCTTGCGCTGGCGGGAGACCGGGAGGGTGGACGATGGAGGAGTCGTCCGATACGGGGTCGACGGTTGCCGCAGCAGAACGCCGCGGACACATGCGTGAAAATGCGTCGCACCGCGGACGGGGAGCGCATCAACGTCGAGTGGAGCCTCCTGGAGCCAGGCGGAGTCGTCGGCGATGAAGGTGAGAGTGCCGAGACAGATCTCTCGACCTTTGACCAAAACTCCAGCAGACACCATGATGAAAGTACTCGGAAGAATCGCAACTTCTCCACAAAATCGCTAAAACACCTGCCCCACGGTGGGCGCCAACTGTCGTGGTTCTAAGCCTGACAGTAGAGTGGGGGTAGGTATGGAGAGGCAAGGTCCTAGCTATGGAGAGGTTGTAAACACAAGGGATGTACGAGTTCAGGCCCTTCTCGGAAGAAGTAATAGCCCTACGTCTCGGAGCCCGGAGGCGGTCGAGTGGATTATGAGTATATGAGTTACAAGGTGCCGAACCCCTCTACCTGTGGAGGGGAGCGGCTTATATAGAGTGCGCCGGGACCCCAGTCAGCCCACGTAGGAGAGGGTTTAAGGTGAGTTAAGTCCGGGGCGCTACTGATAACGCCCCACATAAAGTGTCTTTACTACCATAAAGTCTACTTAATTACAGGTCGTTGCAGTGTAGAGTGCCTCTTGACCTTCTGGTGGTCGAGTGAGTCTTCGTGGTCGAGTCCTTCAAGTTAGTCGAGTGAGTCCCTCGTTGGTCGACTGTAAGGCGACCTCTTCTAAGGGTGTCCTTGGGTAAGGTACTTAGATCAGGTCCATGACCCTACCCTAGGTACGTGACCCCATCACCGGTACTAAAGGTTCAACACGAACCGGGACTAATGCATAGCCATTAGAACCGGCACCAATGGTCACGTTAGTGCCGGTTAATTTATAAACCGGGACTGAAGGGCTGAACATTAGGTCATTTTTCTACTAGTGGGTGCTCGTGGGCGGAGCACCCAGCTCAGGCGCTTTCGGACGACCATTTCCATGTGGGCAGCATGGTGGAAGGGGTATGGCTTTCAATGGCGGTGGTGCGGTTGACCGTACCACGTCTTGGTGCTGATGAGTAATGGCCGGGGTGAAAACTTGTTCTGACTTGTCAAGCCGGCGGCGATGGCGTTCTGGCGCCGTCCCCTTCTTGAAGGCGTCGTCGCATTTACTCATTGTTCATCATGGTTCTCCGGGGGGGTGGGGAAGGAGGGGGGGTGGGTGATCTTTGGATGAGGTGGCGGTGGCGCTCCGGTGTTGTTTCCTTCTTAAAGGCACCGCCTTGGAGGCTAGGGTTCGTCATGCTCGGCTCCATCTCGTTGCAGTGGCTTGTCCACGTTTGAGTGCCTGGACAACTTCTTAGCAGTGCTTCTTGTACACTTGATATTTGCTTGGAGTTGTATGGGTGGTGTTGCTATTTCAGTGCCTTTGTCTCAGGCTTGGGTGTGTATATTGTGTTGTGATGGTGTGAGTTTGCATCGGATTGTTCGGTGATGTTTACTTTACATAGAAAGCGGGGGAAACTCTGTTTCGTGTAACAAGCCATTTGATATCCACGCCCTACACATAAATATCTTGCTTACTTTATTTTCCGTTGGTTCAGTAAAGATAATCAGAGCATCATAGACAAACAAGCATGCTTTATCATGGTATTCTCCCACTCCCGAATCCAAAATCCGGAGGCATGCCAGCTATCACCTTCTTGACCGATGGCCTTGCCAGCAGCGCCTCCCACCATGCCTTCACATGCGGATACGCATCGAGCACAACCGCATGCTCCGTCGCCATGAAGTAGCGCATGAAGGAGAAATGGGTGAGGTCGGCGAAGCTGACGAAATCCCCGGCCAAGTACTTGTTGCTTGACAGTCTCGCCTCGTACACCTCCAGCAGCTTCTTGAGCTTCTCGACGCTCTCATCGACGAGGCCCTGGTCGACGTCCCTCCCGACGAACGGGTTGATGATGCAGTTCCACACGATGGGCTTGAGTACGGGCTCCAGCTGGTGGGCATCCACGTCGACCCATACATCCACCATCGCCGACTCCTCGAGGCTGCCTGCTCCTAGAAGCCCGGGCTTGTGTTTGCGGAGAATATGCCTTGCAATGGCGCGGGATTCTCAAGAAAATAAATTGCGGAGAGAAATCAGTACCCCTCGGGTTTTTTTATCACGCCCACCAAATTGCTTAATAATTGGTAGAAAAACAATATGCCTACTGAATCAAAAATAAAACAGAAAACATGAAGAAGGCTTACGGTAAAGCGTCAGACCGCCGTCTTCGAGCACCGGGATCTCACCGAAGGGCTGCGGAATGGTTGGAAGGGAACAGTAGTGTTAGTGTTTCTTGCTTCCAACAGAGCTCAAGTAGCAAAGATGAACCAGGTATGGAGAAGCTTAGCGGAGCACACGTACGTTTCTGGCGAGGTGCTCCGGCCGCCGGTGGTCGCCGCCGTTGCGGCTCATGGGCACGAGCTCGTACTCGGCGCCGGCCTCCTCCAGGGAGACGAGGACCCGCGCCATCCATGGCGACACCGCCCAGCCGTACACCTTCATAGGCTCCATCCCTTCTTCTTCTTCTCCCTCTGTGTTTGCAGTGCACTGCTATGGGTCCATTTATGTACTTCATCATCGAGCACTAGTAGCACTGTTGTTCATTTAGCACGCCGGCAGTCCAATCCAAATCCAAAACAATATTCTAGCTGGGAGTATTGGGGTTCCCTGTATGCAGTCAAACTTCTGTTTTTTAGGCGACGCCGATCGTCACTGCTTGCGTGTGCAGCGCAATCCAATGGTAGGTGAGCAAAATTGGTCCATCGTGCCAAGTAAATATATTTGAGGAAGCCAACCACGTGAACAAGCCACCAACCAATGCACACTCCGCGAACCCAACACCACCTAACCATCTCAACTACCCATTGAGATGATTAGGTGGACAGTTGTATCCCCAACCCACAGTGGTATCTCTCGGAGGTGCTCATAGGGGTAGGGTGTGCGTGTGTGCGTTCATAGGGATGAGTGTATGCGCGTGTATATAAACACTTGTGTCTGTACTGATGCTAAAAAACAATGCACACTACAGCCGAAGCACATTTTTTTTGCAATTATAATAGGAAACTGCCATTTTATTTGGGCCGGGGTCAGGCGTAGGATTTTTGGGTCGGGCTTAAGCCCATCCATGAAAAAACTGTGTAACTCATAGCCATTTTTACAATGTGTAACTGACGTTTCTAGAAGAAGAAAAAAAACAAGATGTAACTGACAGTTAATATCGTAATTACTAGCCTAAATAAATGAAATAAATATTAGTATTTGACAAAAATATCCGAGATATAGCTGTAACCTGTAAATAGTTGTGCTCATCCTCAGGGTGCCCCTGCCTATAAATAGACATCCTTGTAGGCTTTCTCCAAATGGTATTGTGAGGCGCAAACAAAATTACCCAATCTTAGCATCACTCCCCATCCACATACAACCAGCAAGATCCATGAGGCCACCGGCGGCTCTTATGGTCGCCGCCGCCATCCTTCTCATGTTGGCCGGTGTCGACGCGACCGTGGAAACAACCTGCAAGGCGGCGGCCGACGAGGACGCGCATGTCAACTACGTCTTCTGCGTGTCGGAGTTGAGCAAGCACTACCAGAGCTCCGACGCAGACACATGGGGCCTGGCCAAGATAGCGGCTAACATGGGCGTCAACAACGCCTATGGCGCCATCCACGACATCGAGCGCCTACTAGCGAAGCCGGGCATGGATGCCAAGACGAAGGTGACCCTTGGGCAATGCCAGGGGCTGTACGACAACATGAAGTTCACGTTTGCTGGAGCCTACGACGAGATCAACGGCCGAAATTACGCCGCGGGGAAGGAGGAGGCCGCAAAGGCCGTCTCCCTGGCGCACCAGTGCGATGATGCCTTTGTTAAGGTCGCCGTCCCGTCGCCTCTCAAGCAACGTAGCCTCTACTCCGTGCAGACAGCGATAGTCTGCACGGCCATCACTAACCTTATCAAGTGATGAATAGCATCATGGATCCAAATCGTGGCAGAGTTTAGAGGTCGGATCAAACTTGTAGCGATTACTACTCTGAACCTTTGTAAGGTACATGCAAGGAATAAAACATGTTTTCGTTAGTTGTGGGTTTAATTACATGCCTAATAGAGTTCTCAATGCATCTTGATTTGCTTTCTGCTCTTTCAAAAAAACGCGCATTAAATTTCGCACACCCTTTCAATGTGCTATATTTATTTTGCTTGTAACGTAGCCAAAGAATTGTCTTATGCCCTTTGAATGTGCTATATTTATTTTGCTTGTAACGTAGCCAAAGAATTGTTTTATACCCTTTCAATGGACTACACTTATGTCACTAAAATAAGATGAGTTGAGCAAAGAAGAGGTAAACCCAATAAAGACCGATACAAAAAAAACCGCTCTCTCAACATAATGGCACTTAAGTGTTTCCGGCTGGCAGGGACCCAATTTCTGGCATTGTTCTCGATCTTAAATGTACTATATAATTGCACATATATAAACATTACCAAAATGTCTATCTTTGCAGTGTCGTCTTTCTTGTTCTTAAATGTACTACATAATTATGCAAATGGACCGAACCAAAATATATTTTTATGGTGGTAGTCATCACAATGTTTCATTTTTCATGATAAAATCTAGGGCTGGAAAAAAAGCTCGAAGCTCGCGAACTAAACAAGTAGCTCGTGACTCGGCTCGAATGGACTCGAACTCGAAGAATAACGAGTCGAGCCGAGCTTTAGTTTAAGATCATTTGTAGACCAAGTTAAACGAGCCAATCTCACGAGTACTCGTGTAACTCGTTAGGCTCGATACAATAGATCAGCCACTCCTAATACAAAGAAAGATCAGCCACTAAACAACCTACGTCCGAGGCACACAACCCAAGGCCGAGAAGTTGAAGGCCTAGCCTCCTAGGTGACTCACGCGTTACAAGAAAATTACAATTGTATAGTGATATATATGTTTAATATATACATAATCATTTTTATCATATTTGAGGGCTTTATGTTTATATCTTAAACGAGCCTAACAAGCTAAAGGAGCCAGCTCGCGAGTTATATGAGTCGAGCCAATCTTGGGTTTGAGCTCGTTATAGTAACAAGTCGAGTCGAGCTAGCTCGTTAACGAAACGAGTTCTAGCGAGTCGAGCCGAGCTGGCTCGACTCGGCTCGAATTCCAGCCCTAATAAAATCACAACAATTTTCTTCCTTGCCGAAGGTTTAATTCCAGATTATTCTTAAGTTTTTCCAGATTAGGTTATTCTTGAGATTGAGCATTGACATTTTGGCATCAGAGTAAACTCAGTTGTACCTTTGTGTGGGCTCTCATGCCCTCGAGAACGCCGGGTCAAGAACGATCGCCGTCCACGGACACACCCCAGCCTTTTATTGCATTTGCTTATTGGGCTGGCCCTCGAAGCCCTTTACCGCGCACAAATTTTTTTTTGATAGTACGATTAGGCGTACCATAGCTTTAGAGAAGGCAGAATTATAAGTATAAGAAGACTAACACTCGCTGTGAACAACGATTATAGCACGGACACAACACCCAGGTTCAGTGGCGGAGCGAAAAATAAAGCAAATCCCAGGCCAAAATTTTCTTGGTAACATGGGATATTTTTGGCATTCTAACAATATCTCATGACATTCCTGGAAAAAAATACCACATGCAAAACAAAAAATAAAGTTAAAATTTATTGTCGAGCACTTCTAGTCAAGTGAGTTTTTCTTCATAGTCGAGGCCTACCTCAGCGACGCGCTTGCCCACCGCGCCCGCAAGTCTCAAGGCCGAGCTCAACGGCGACAATAGTAATCTCTAGGTTTCTGTCGACGACCACGAGGAGGTTACCCACGTGTTCTCCGGCTTGAAGCTCTAGGCGTACGACACGGCGGGAATAGGATTCTTTTACAAGAGATATAAGTTATTCAATCTTGGAATGGCCAAGACCCATACCTACAAAATACTGCAATCGTGCGTGCTATTATATTATGTGAAATCAGATCGTAGTGTTCCGACGCATGTCGCAACTAGTTAAGATGATTTCTCTATGAATAGAACTTTCTTACGCTTGCACATTGAAGAATTGTAGTATGGACTTGCATGTTTCACAAGTGAGAGAATAATATGTTTAACACCAAGGAATCATCGTGTTTTACCGAGATATATGAGTCAAATATATACTATCGTAGATAGCACAATGATGTTAATATTATTTGAGTGGAAATTTGGGAAATAAACAAATCACATGTGATAAATGAATCATTATTCCAGTCTTAATCGAGTAGCCATATTTTTAAATCTCCCGAATATATTTCCATCCCACCTGAATATCCTATCGAGGCATAGATCGATTCTAAAGTTCAAACAAAAATGAGCGAGAGAGCGAGAGAGAAAGAGCGGGAGAGGGAGAGAGGAAGAAGGAGAGGGGGGGAGAGAGATAGAGAGAGTTGTGACCCTAAAATATCGACGCTCATCCCAGCTAGCTCTCTTCCCCTCTACCAGTACATTCAGGTAGCCGCCAGCCTCTAAACCCTCTGACATCAACGCCACCCCCACTAGCGACCTCATCTCGCCCCCTACCGCCGCCCACTATCTGGTCCTCATAGTGAAATGTGGGGTTGACGTAGTAATACACGGTGTTAAACAAACATGTGAGACCCACACGTCATGTATCTGGTCAAAACATGTAGGACCTCAGCAGCGCTGAAGTGCCCACCACGTTAGACTGTGATCGAAACTATGATAGATGGGAGCACACCATATGGAGCACAGAGCAGTGACCAACCAAGTGAGTTATTCTTCATCATCGAGCACTTCTCGCCAAGTGAATTCTTCTACGTTCTCGAGGCCTACCTCAGCGACGCGCTTGCCGGCCACGCCCAGAATCTCAAGGCTGAGCTCAACATCGACAATAGTAATCTCCAACTTCTTTTTGACAAGCATGAGGAGGTTGTCGATGAGTTCTCTAGGACGAAGCTCTAGGCGTACGCCACTACGAGTACATGATCAATGTTACATGAGATATAAGTTATTCAATCTTGTGTAACTTATTATTACAAGGCATGTGGGCATGACGTGCATACCATCTCGACCTAGCATGCGGGTGTGATCGACTAGAAGGTGGAGGCGATCCGTGTGAGAGGTGTGATTAACCAATCAACAACCATCGATCCACGAGCGTGTGATTGACCCACCTCCCAGTTGGTAGAGCATCAATCCATGGGACGTATGATCTGAATCTGAGTGGACGGTCGGGATGAGTTATAGAGGAGATGGATCCATGAGAGGCGTGATCGACCAATCGGAAACCGGTGAACTATCTCATGCGGATAATGATGGGGAACGTAGTAGAAATTCAAAATTTTCCTACGAGTCACCAAGATCTATCTATGGAGAGACTAGCAACGAGAGAGAGGAGAGTGCATCTATATACCCTTGTAGATCGCTAAGCGGAAGCGTTCAAGAGAACGGGGTTGAAGGAGTCGTACTCGTTGTGATCCAAATCACCGGAGATCCTAGTGCCGAACGGACGGCA